TCTCTCTCAACAATCATCATCAGCAGTAATAAACTACCAGTCTTAGACTCTGCATTTGTTACTTTATTTTTCTTTTTATCAAGTAGCTTTAGTCTTTATTTTTCGGTGTACGATCGGCATAGCCTGCCACCCTTTTCTTTAATCAATGCATCTTTGCTTTTTGCATCTACATTAGTGTTCTTGACTTCGCATTCTCACATTTGGGTGAATTGTGGTAATGAAGCTCAGGTCCTCGCGTTTGATTAGAAGTTAAGTTCTTCTATTCTTTTAAGACCTCGTCGTGTCTCTATCACACCTCAAACACACAATTTAATTGTTTGTTTTTTAGGAACAATTTCTAGCACACCTAGTGGAACCTGTGTAACAAAGATGGCAAGGACACGAAAAGACAAAAAGACTGATGAACATGTCACATCCCAAAAATATGGGAGTGGCTGACATGGGATACATCTAACACCCATCCCGTTAAGATTAATTCAATAAATTTCTATTTTAAAAATAACTTTTCATTTAAATGAAATTTAATATTTTTGTAAAAATTTTGACATAATCTCCTTAAGAATAGGGATTTCCTGAAGTTCTACAATACAAATTTTTTTTGAGAAATATTACAAATCTAAGAGCTTAACTCCTTTCAACCAATGGACAAAATATTTACAAAATAAAGACCCTTTACCTAGCCTATGTAGAGCACCGATAACATTGTTTATAAAAGTACAATATTAGATTAAACTTGTACTAAAAAAAAAATAGAGATTAACCAAAATGGCGTCATAAACTTAATGCAGGAGCAAAATTCCTTGAATGATTGATGGAGAGACAAGCTATCTAAGACCAAAAATATTTTCTAGTGAATAACCTCCTAACCATAATATTTTGTAGAATCAAAATGAATAAAATATGACCATTACATAAATTAAATGAGAAAAAAATTTAATGTAACCAAAGTTGTAAACTTGGAATAGAAATTTAAAGAACTTCATAACAATAACATTTAAAGCTATAATAAACAAAGTAGCTTTACATTTGACATTGACAAATTAAAATAATTAATTAAATATATACATGAAAATAATAAACATTTGTAATTGAAAAACCATTAGAATGTGAAATCATCAGTTAAATAAAAATTTAAATTTCTGGGGATTTATCAGAATATTTCACAAATGTGGAAACACAGTCTACGAGGTTAAGTAACCAAACATAGCCGAAGCCACGAAACAAACGTGGACACACAGTCCACGAGGGTAAGACTACTAATCAAACGTAGCTTAAAGCTACGAAAAAATGTGAGTACCATGCTCACGAATAACCATCTCTTCATTCCACATGTGTTGGCCATCGCATGGGGCTAGCACCTCCTATAAATACTCTGCTAGTTAGGTGTACCATGGCGCGTCAAGGGCTAACGGAACTGTCATTAGCAACTAATGTTCTGTTGTAAGTCTCTTTTAAATCCATTCTCAACATGCGTTAAATCATCACTTTCACAATAAAATTTCTCTTTTAAATATCAAACTCGCATAAACTGATTAAAACATCAATGCTTTCAAACATGAAAATTCACAAACTAATATTTCATAAACTTCTCTATCAATTTCCGTGATTGTCTTTATTGAATAAAAGAGTACTAGAATTTATAAAAAAAATTTTGTTAATCTAATAAGTATATATATCATGACTCCAAGAAGTAAAACAAATTTAATTAACAAAGAAGCTAATGCAAGAGAATATATAATATCTATAAATTGTTAAATAATATTTTGATAAAGAAAATTTTCTAATTCATAAATTGATTGGGACGTTATCCACTTACCTGATAAGCTCCAAAGATAATGGATTTTCCTACTAAGCACCTTTCAAAAGCCTTTAGCTACTCTACTATCTTAAAAAAAAACAAAACAAAACAACAACTCTCTTTAACGAGGACCCTATTTATATATCACCTGTTAACTCCAATCACATTGTTACTTTTCCAAAACCCTAAAAATCATTTTAAGACTTGAAATAACTATCAATAAATTCAATAATTTCCTTCTAACATTACTACTATAACAATTTAGGCATAATAGAGTTGAAATTTTTAATATCAAGACCTTACACATAAAAATCCCTCCAAAGCCATAGCTCCAAAGACTTCAACTAACAACATATTACTTTCATAATCAAAATTTGTACACAATACTAAGATCAATCTCAAGATAATAGCATCCAAACTAATTATGTTTTTCAAGGAATTTAATGAGATTTTACGAAATAACAATCAATCACTTCCTCTAACAAGCATTTTGACAAACATCTTATAAGCATCAATCTTTAAGTTTCATATCTAAGATCTTTTCTCCCAATTTCATCCTAACCAATTATTCAATAGCAACCAATTTAAACAAAAATTAATTTAACTCATAAATTCTAACCCATATGTGTCATGATCATGCTTCAATACAAATTTTTTTAGCTTATTTTAACTCTTCTCCCCCTTAAACTGTCACGAGCAATAGCAGAACATGAAAAAAAAAATTTGAAACTTCAACAAAAATTCCATTCAAACAAAAAATGTGATTTTTCCTAGTCTTAAATTGAAACTTGTTAGAACCTCAATCTTTACCTTACACGCACAGCAACTAATACAGGGGAAGAATGAAAATTCAGCAACCTCCTAAAGCATGAAACACACAAATCTAACCTAAGGAAGAGGGAGGATGAAGCTTAAACTCACCAAGGAGTAAAAGAGGAATGGATCGAAAGATTTAATATTCCCTCCCTCACCCAAAACAGTGGCGATGCAAAACAGTGGAAGTAAGAAAAAGGGCCTTATATGCAGAAATAGAGGAGGAAGAGCAGAGGTTTCACAATCTTTACATAACCCACAGTAGTGACCAACAGCACACCCATATTCACAGACAATGGATGCTTAGAACAGAGGATGAAAGCTTCTCAATCCACAGCTGCTCCTCCCATTCTCTCTCCCTCTCTATTGCTTATATTTGACACTAAGTCGGTAGTGGAAAAAAAATCTGATGACCTCTGTTTTTTAAAAGCAATGGCATTTCTATAATTTTGGAGTACTAAAGAAAATATAAAATATTACTCTTGACACTACCTAAATTGGAACCATGAATCATCAATTTGAAACCCAAAAAAAAATCCCATTATACTACTAATTCATTTTATTATAGCTACCCAATAATTTTATGAAAAGAAAGTTAAAATATTTAGAAGAATAATTTATTATTGTATTTTATATTTCTTTTTATGCAAATATGAA